GATCCCGAGCTCGGGTTTATTCCCGAGAAAATTCCCGCTGGGAATGGCAGCGCTGGGAGCGGGGAACGGAGGGCACGGAAAGACAAAAGGGGTCTGCCTGCCAGCTGCGGGAATTCGCAGCGGGAAGGAACCTCTGGAGCGCCTTGGAAAAGCCCCCGCCAGGGGAATGAGGAGTTAAGTTGGGAAAAATTCCCTTCCCAAGAATTCCAGCGGCCGCGGGGACCCCAGCTGAGAGAAGGCGCCGCGTTTTTTTCCATGACACGGCCTGCGAGCCCGCTGGAAATCCCAAAAATTCCCTGCTTTACGGGAAGGCCGATTCCCGGATTTTTGGGAAGGCCGGTTGGGAAAGAGCTGCGGAGGCTCCGTTCCTCCCCAACGGGAGGAGCCCGGAACCCTCCGGCTCCCGCTCCTCATCCCAAACCCGGAAAAGCTTTTCCAGAGGGGAGGAAGAACAAACTCCAGGGGGTTTAGGGAATCTCCCAAACCGCTTTCGGCATTCTTTCCCATCCCGGCTGTTTGGCCGGGGCTCATTCCTTTTTCTGCGCCTGGCAGGAGGCGAGGATGAGGCCGCTGCTGGGCGTCGTGGCTCTGGTGACACTCGTGTCCCTCGTGTCCCTCGTGTCCCCCGGCCTGGCCTGCCCGGCGCCGTGCTCCTGCTCCACCAAGAAGAACGGGCGGCTGCTGGCCGAGTGCGCCTACCGCGAGCTGCGGGACGTGCCGCGGGGCCTGTCCGCCAACATCACCATCCTCACGCTCTCCGCCAACCGCCTGGGCCGCCTGGGCCGCGCCTCGCTGGCCGAAGCGCCCGAGCTGCAGTCGCTGTGGCTGGGCTACAACCGCATCTCCAGCGTGGAGCCCGGCGCCTTCGCCGCCCTGCCGCACCTCAAGAACCTGGACCTGAGCCACAACCGGCTGGCGGATTTCCCCTGGCAGGACCTGCGCAACCTGAGCGCGCTGCAGATCCTCAAGCTCAGCAACAACCGGCTGGCCGCCGTGCCCCGCGGCGCGCTGGCCGGCCTGCGGGAGCTGCGCTCGCTCTGGCTCAACGACAACGAGCTGGCCACGCTGGCCCGCGGCACCTTCGAGGGGCTGCCGGCGCTGGCGCAGCTGCAGCTCTTCCACAACCCCTTCGACTGCTCCTGCAAGCTCTTCTGGCTCAAGGAGTGGGCGCACGGCAGCTCGGCGGTCCTCTCCGGAGCCGGCTCCACGCTGTGCGCCGCGCCGGCGGGGCTGCGGGGCCGGCCGGTCACCGACATCCCCGGGGCGCTCTGCGTGCCGCCCTCGGCCCAGCTCACCTATCTGTCCGGGCCTCGGGACGGGCCGACGCTGACCCTGCACTGCAGCGTGGCCGGCAGCCCCCCGCCGGAGATCCGCTGGCGGATCCGCACGGCCGCTCGCCGCGTGGACATCCGCGGGCCCACGGCGGCGCGGGACCGCGGCGGCGCCGAAGGCGGCCGGCAGCGCTTCGTGGCCTTCAAGAACGGCACCATGGCCATCCCCGACTTCGGCAAGGAGGACGAGGGCACCTACACCTGCCTGGCCGTCAACGACGTGGGCACGCGAGACGTCTCCATCAACGTGGCGCTGGCCGGCTCGGCCAACCCGGCCGAGGAGCTGCCCCGCGACGACCCGCAGGCCGGGCACGCCGGCGGGCACGGCTGCGCCGAGGGCGGTCAGCCGCATCCCTCCGCCGCGGCCGAGAAGTTGGTCATCGTCTACCACGTGCCCGGCCGGGCCCGGAGCGGCGCTGGAGCCCGGGAATTCCGCCTGGGAATTCTGCCGCTGGCCCTGGGGCTGCTGCTCTGGTGAAGGGCGGCGTTGCCGGTTTTCCCCGGAGTTTTTCCTCCCGTCGCGCCCTCGCTGAGCTCACGGCATCCGGGAGCGCTCCGCAGCCCGCCGGGGTCGCCGCGGGCCCCGGGGCGGGTGGTGCTGCCCTCGCCGTTCCCGCTGCCGGAGGAGCTCCGGGAACGCGGGGCGGATCCAGGCCGGATCCAGGCGGGATCTGCCGCCGGTTCCCGGCTGTCCCAACGCTTCCCGCTTTTCTCCCCGCCCGGATGCGAGGGCGGCCGCGGGAGGTGAGAGCGCTGGCGATCCCTCCCCAGAGCCGCCGCGGCTTCCAGAGGGATCCGAGGATAAAATCCCTGGGAACGGACGCGGGTGCCGCGGAGCATCGCGATGCACCCACGGCCTTGCATCGGGAATCCCAAAATCCCATCTGGGCTGGACCCACCCAGTTGAGCCAAAGATTCCCAAAGCGTTCCCGGTGGGAATGGGGGAAAGATTGGGAACAGCAGAGAAGCTGAGCTGCCTCGAAGCCATAAATATTCCCCGAATGCTTCGGAATTCCCGGCGGGACAAATACTCCTTATCCAGCTGTCCTGGGAAACCAGGGACAGCAAGAAGTGCCTTTAATGAATGCCTTTAATTAAGAAATACCCATCATAAACACCTGTAATAAAGAAACTATTTTAATAAATACCTTGGATTCATAAACACTTTGAATTAATAATTACTTTTTATAAGCACCTCGAATAAACTCCTTTTTTTTTTTTTTTTTTTTTTTTTTCCTAAAACAGCCGGGCTTCGCTTGGTCTGCGCATCCCAAAATCCCAAAATCCCAAAATCCCAAAATCCCAGCAGCTCCTGGGCTCCCCCAGATTATGCCCAACCCTCCTGGATCAGGGGATACTTCTGTCATTCCCAGTTTTCCCAAATTCTTCCCAGGGCTGGAGAATCCCCCAATTTTTCCCCATTCATTGAATCCTCCCAGATCCCCCAAATCTTTTCTGGCTCTGGAGAATCCCCCCCCCCAGCACCCCAAAATCCTTCCCTGTCCCACGGAATCCCCTTGAATTCCCCCAAATCATTCCCAGTGCCAGAGAATCCCCAAACCCTTCCCAATTCTGGAGCATCCCAAGATCCCCCCAAATTCCCCCGTTCCCCAAATCTGGAAGGAATCCCCAAAATCCTGGGATACCCCAAAATTCCCCCCTACAGCAGCCCCAGGAATGGATGTGACCCCAAAATCGGAGCCTGGAGCTCCCCAGCACCGAAATTTTTCCTTATCCAGGGGGATTTTAGGGAAAGGGAATTGGCAGCTGAGGTCTCCGGGGGAATTCCTGGATTCCCATAAATTTTTCCCACTATGGGATAAAAATCGTGGCCCCAGTGAAAGTTTTGGGTTCATTTCACAAGATCTGACTTTTAACTTCCATTTTATCCCTGGGAATAATGGGGATCCGGGATTATTCCCAAAATTCCAGCTGGGATGGGAGGGGTGAGGAGGCGGATTTGGGGTTTTGAGGTGAGCCGGGAAGCACCAGGAAGGGGAAGAAAATCCCAAATCCCGCCCAGGGCGCTGCTGCTATCCCGAAAACCAAACAAATTCCAGGGATCTCCAGGGAGCCTTGGGTGGGGCTGTGGAAACAAGATCCCAAAATTCAGCCCCGCCCGTAGCACGGAGCTGCCACAGATTTTAGGGATTTTTAAAAGGGATTTTAGAGATTTTTTGGGATTTTTAAAGGAATTTTGGGGATTTTTCGAGGGATTTTTTCAAGGGAGTTTTCAAGGGATTTTGGGATTTTTCAAGGGATTTTTGGGATTTTTCAAGGGATTTTTTTCACGGGGTTTTACGCTGCCTTTGGAGCTGCAGGGGTCGGGATGGGCTGGGAGGAAATCCTGGGAAAAGGGAGGGGATCGCTCCAAGGAAATCCCAACCCTCGGTGACTCCGAATTGTCCTGAGGGTGCTGGGAACATTCCAGAGGGAGGGAATGGGTTCCTTGGGATCCTGCAGAGAGCAGCTGTGGCCAACCCCAAAGGAAATCCCAGAGTGATCCGACAGCTCCATGCGGTGCGGGTTGAGAATTCCCAAGGGAATCTCGGGGTGGTTGGGATCCACCGGGAGCCTGCTCATTCCAGCCCAAAAAGGAAAGGAATTCCGGGATTTAAGAGCAGGAAGAAGGGATCCAACACCTCCTCATTCCCATCCCGTTGGTGTTGTATCCCCAGAATTCCCCGTTCCCATTCCCGCCCATCCCGAATCTGTGGGAACACGAAGGGAGCGGCTTTCCCATAAAACGGGATCACGGAGCGGATCCAAACATTCCCAGCTGGAGCAGATCCCCAAAATCTCTCCTGGGCGATGTCATCCCAACCATTCCGTGGATTCAGGGCTGGGACAATCCCGAATCCCGCTGGGAGTGGGAATATCCAAGGAAAACAGCACATCCGGCAGTAGGAGCAAGGATCCGTTTATTCTCCTTCCCCCGCGCTTCCCAGGGAGTGGATCCCAAAGGATCCCTTCCCATGGATCCCAGCCCTGGAAAACCACGGGATCGCCGCAAAACCAGGAATGGAAATGAGCCGGGGAAATCAGGGAAAAAAAATCTGGGAAAAAAACCATCCCGGGAGCGGATGCGGAGCCCGGATGGAGCCGGGATGGGGAATTGAAAAGCCAGGAATGGGAATTTTCTCCTGGTGCTTGGGAATTCCTTCGGCCCGCTGGGGATCCCCCCCAGCTCCTCTCCCACTTCCCTGGGAATTGTCCCGTGCTGGAAAAGCTGCTGAGAACCGGGCTGGTTGCAGGAGCGAATCCCAAAATATTTTTGGGATGCCGGGAGCGTTTTCCTTGGCTCGGCTCCATCCAGGCTGGGCTTGGAGGCGTCACCTCCGGACATCAGGAGTGGCTCGGCGTGGATTTGGGATAAACCCTCGGAGAGAGTCCGGAGGCTGGGAAGGAGCTCAGAGGTGGGAGATAGGAGGTGGGATGGGATTCCCGGGAATTCAGGGCCTGGAAACGCCGAGCTGGGCGCCGTTGGCCGCGGGATCGGCCAGCGCGGTTTTTCGGGAAACGGTCAGCGAGGGGTTGTGCAGGAGCGTGTAGGCCACCCACCAGCGCGCCCGGATGCGCCGGATCCGCGCTCTTCCCGGAGCCGGGGGCTTGGGATGCATCAGCTGGAGGCCTGGAAGGAGACGGGAGCAGCAGGGAGAGGATTCAGGGCCTGGAGAGGGTTGGGATGAGGAGCAGAGGGATGGATTCCAGCTGGGAAAGGTGAGGTTGGGATGGAATTCCCAGAGGAGATGTGGCTGCCCCTGGACGCCCGAAGTGTCCAAGGAAAGGTTGGATGGGGTTTGGAGTAGCTTGGGATAGTGGGAGGTGTCCCTGGATGGGCTTTAAGGGCCCTTCCAACCCAAAGCATTCCAGGAGTCCCAGATTCCAGCACATTTCCATGGAGCCACCAAGATCCCACCACACCCCAAAGAGCC